GCGTGGAACAGAAATGCGTCGCCAAGCGGCGAATTTGTGCTCCGAAATCGATTCCAACCCGGCATTCAAGTCTCCGAGACGTGCGTGTTGTACTGGGTGCTTTGAAATAATCGGACATGCCTTTTGTTAACTTCAACATTTTCGGAAACGTTCCTTGCGATGACAATAATCTCACACTTCTTCCAATTTAAATAAGCAGAAAGAAATATTGTACATCTAAATTATGATTTAAAATTAAATTTAAACGGAAATCAATTATATATTCTAATATATCTCGCGCGCAAGAAATACGGGATTTATTTGCTAAATCAAATTTCGAGAGGGCGAGTACGATGGCGGGTAAATGTCGATCGATTCGTGACCGGAACACTTATTGGGCGACAGGTGCCTCGACGGTGCCTGCGACGGAAGTCAAGAAGTGGTTCCGGAAATGAGAGCCGCGACGTTAACTCAGTTTCTCTTGGCCTCTGGGATGTAGGTCGCACCGGGTTACAGTCTGAGGGTCTCCCCATGCTGGGACAATCTCGACGGAGATAATCTCGAGATAATCTCGTCGACTCCGACTTTTCTCGACTCTTGCGTCTCGCGCGTCGATTTTATTTTGTCTAACAAATTTTATGTGGGATGGAAAATAGATATGAAAATTGGCGCGTATGAGATGATCGGTTGTTATTGATCGGCATCTAGGATATGATAATAATAATGTTATATAACGATGATATTGTATAATATAGAATGTAATAAGTGTAATATAATAATCGCGCGTTTAGAGATTTTTAATGAAATGTAGTGAGAATTTTATCTCGCCGCCTTTATTTATTGTTTTACAACGAAAAAGAAATTCCTACGCGAAGAGCTTTACGTTAAACAATTCGATTCTTTGCGGTTTCCTGCGGAATGAAGTATGCGAGAAACGTGACCATGGGCACGATCGTGCCGTCCACCGATGCACGTGCCTTTCTAAAACGTAAGCCTCATTGCAGCCGGTCACTGTTCGAAGGGTTCCTTTGCGGATAAAACTAACGAAGACCGCAATTGCAAAGCCGGCTCTTGCCACGCAATCATAAAACGCAACGTAAACCAAGTGCGCGTATGCTCATATTACCTGTCCCGGAATTATTGATTCCTTTTGTAAGGATTTTTGGCCATCTTATAGTTTTCTTAAACTATAAAATCGAAAAAAGTCTATTATGTTCATAAAAATTATTTTAATAATTTTAATAATTTTGATTTTATAATCGCGTATATTTATGTACAAACAAGATATATTTTAGAAAATTTTGGAATGTGCGTCAATGTTTTGAAAATCTTTTACACACACAATAATTGTATCATTCAAAATTTTTTCTAGCATCCGATTGTTATCATTTATATACATTATTTGGAGATATTAATCGGAGTACTTGGTCCGTATTAATTTAAATCGTCGCTAATACGCCGATCGGAATTATCAAAGTGTCACGATCTGTGACGTGAAAAAAGCTAGCGCGAGTTATCAAATGTACACCTTAACCGCGTAAGTAGCAGGTACAGAACAATAGAGTTCACTAATTGCAATTGGCGTAAAAGAGTGCCGCGGCTTGTTAAAAAGCGCTAACGCTAGTTGACATCAGTTCTCGCGATAACGACGACTGCTTCCCTCCGATGATTTACGATTTAAGTCACAACGCTATACATATTATACACATATATTGAAAGTATGTGTGTTTAATTCAATTATACTTTTCAAGATTTTATGAAAATTTTATAAGCGATAATTATGCGTGGTATATTTTATCGTGATTTATAAATATAAATCCTTTAATTATATTTGTTAATCTTTTCTTAAATCAGGCATGAATTAATCAATATAAAAATATTTTCTATTATGTTAATATATGCCATTCGAATGTAGCCCTCTTTTATCTTTACTTCATTAATGAGAGATGGCTGATAAAAGATATTTCTGTGAACAATTCAATTAATGCGCTTCAAGTCTCGCGATCGCGGCGGATTCAGCCGGCGTCTGTAGAAGTGCAAGTAATGGAAGGGGGATGATGCAGGAACCGAGGCAGGAGAGCATCATGGTCCGATGGTCACGACTCTCGGACAAACGGACCACCATACCATCACCATGTTCGTTGGTCGGTTCGCGGGTAAATCTCGGCAATTTCTCCCGTAATGGTTGCCAGACTGGACGCCATTAGCATACGCCCTGATTTTTCTCGTCAGACCGACCGTGACGGTTAACGCTTTGCTTGCGTTCGCATGCGATCCGAAAAGTCATTCCGGTGCGTTGAACCGGAAGTGGACTATCGCGACAATTCAAACGTTTGGTCGATGAAATTTGTGAAACGAAAGTGTTCGGGGCGCTTCAATAACGCGCATTACTTCCTGTAATTTCCATAAATTACTTGCATTAGGAAATATACATATGTATACTATTTCACGGAAGAGTACGCGCGAATGCTTGAATAAAAATCTTTCGATAATTTCTTTGAATATATTGTATGCACTTTGCGATTCCGTTCTTCTCGAACTCTCTACATAAATAATTTTTTTTTTCAGAATTATATTTAATAATTAATTAAATATAAAGAGAGAGAGATCGGACTTTCAAGTAATTAAATATCAAAATTATTTTTAATTTAACTGAACGTTCTCTACTTAAAAATAATTAACCGCATGATTATTTTAAACTTTATCAAACGTTCTACTTAAAAATAATTAACGATCATAATTGTTTTAAAATGATCCATTTGTTAAATATCCAAGACTTCAGAAGATATCAGAAACCGCGAGAACAATATATGTCAATTGTGCATATTTTAAGACATTTCTAATCTTAATCGCGAGCAATGTTATCAGAGTTATCAAAGCAAATGTACATTTTCCATACCCGTATTTAATTCGCTCGCAACGTGTCATTATATAAAAAGTAATATTCTCCGATCTACTTACGCAATGCTTGCGTAACATTGTTACTCGCGCAAAACGATTCCAGTAATAATTTAGCAATAACGGACAGAGGATATGCAATCTATGAGAAATACTACTCGATTTTTTTTATTCTTGTTGCTTTTATTCGCCTTCCTATCTTTGCACTTCTTTCCAGCTTCTTTTATCGTGCCTATAAATTTTACACTTATTATCCTTTCCTTTCGATATCGCATCTAAAGACGCGAATACGCGATATCATTCCTGATCACTTAGTCGATCGGGCGGAAATAAAAATGCATAAACTCTCTCTTGGAAGCTCGGATTGCTTCATACGTTTATGCAAAGTATAGGATATTGTCGCGATAAACCTGCATCATTCATCATCTCTTAATATTAAAGAATTCCACGCGTTTCCTGTGGCTTCATATAAATTACGCTATCGACTTTTCAATCTATCGTGACGCAACGTAATTCATTTCTTAAATCAATGATCTTTGAAGATCATGATTGATGATTTACAACCTGTTCATAATTTCGCGACTTTGTCCATTCATTTTTGCGACGCTTTTAAATGATCAAAGATATTGAAGAAAATTGAGAAGCAAGAACGAAGTAAAGTTCAAATTTATGTAAAGTTCACTTTTATATAATAGTATCTGAACTAGATCTTACAAATTATAATCTTTTTTTATCTTTTTCATGCATCAAATATTTCAATTTACAAATTAAACAAGAAACTTTATACTTTAAATTACTTTAATCATAAAAAATTTAATGTTTCATATTTGTCTATTTTTATATAATATTAAGATTATATTATTTCTTTCTGGTCAAAAGATTTATGTTTTATATTTCTTCATGGACTCGAATGAATTATCTTGTTCTAAAAGGATCTTTGGCTTTGCGCTTTGTAAAGGGTTAAGAACGCGTATGTGAACTTTTCACGTTCGAGCGTAGCACAAACTATTCGATATCCCTGTCTGGTTATGGGAGGTACCAGTACATCGTGTATCTATAGTGCGGTTCAAGGTCGGACGGTGTACGTTGAAGACGATAGCCGTAAGATACGCGCGTAGGTGCATTAACCCTTCGAAGAGTCCGCCGCCACGCGACGTGGCTATAGTTCAACAAAGAGTATGCTGGCGTTTGTGAAACAAGCCGGATAAACGAATATTTTTATAGCTGAGAGGCAAAAGAAAGTAGATCCAATGTTATCACCTTTCGACATATTTATCATGTATGAGAAAAATAAGTCAGAAAATTTTTTAAAAGAATATATAATTATTTGAAAAAAATGTAGTAATGCAATAAAAAGATTTATGTTACAACAAAAAATTCTTATCATTTGGATAAACAAATTTTATCTCATAGAAAAAAAATTGTTTAAGCAACCAATTTATTTCGCGTTTTTTTTTTTTTTTTATTTATTTGGCTAAATATATATAAACATGTATTTATTTTTAATTTAATTTGATAATAAGTGAGTGTGCATAATTCTGGAATCTTTATTCCGATAAACCGAGAGTTTTTGTACTTAATTGTGTCACTTCTATAAATTTATTTGGCCCGGTGCCTCGAGGTAATTCGATGAGAGGTACTTAATTCTCTTGGTATGTGTTGAGCCAACTAATAATACCGTTAGGTGACTATTAACGAGCTAAGAAAATTCGGAATATAAATGATCGATGGATTTTTTGTAATCCTTCGTTGCGTATGATTCAATTCTTATTTTGTTTAAAAATAGTATAAGATTCTGCTAAAATTAAGTGCAAGGAAATGTTTATATGGCTATGGCAATATATACATGAGTCATTTTAATAATTTTTCTCTGAAATTATATTCATATAAAAAATCATACTATTACACTGTAAACACAGCACAATTTTTCCTTCAGAATTCAAACATTTTCCAAAGTTCGAAACACTATAATGCCGTAATAATATCAAACGGTCTTGAAAATGCTGAGAGTTTTGCGAAGAAAATAATAAACAGATTTATATCTCTCCATAAAGTTGCGAATTCAGATGCAGACACATCGTACGAAACGCTCTTTTATTAAAAAAGAAATAATCACTACTCACTCATAGCTGATTATGTCGTCCTCTACGAGCGAGCAGTCTGGGCCATGGTGCGCCGACGAGGAAGTTTGGCCGCACTTCGTAGGGAATGCACCTGAGCGCTCGCGGGCGTTCCTTTCGACCCTTCGGAAAGGCAGAATGTAGGCGTAATAACCGGAATCTACGGAATGCGGTTGCAATCACGTCTATGAACCGATCATATCCCGCTCAAAAAAAAAAAAAAAAAGGAAAATATATTTAAAAAAATATAGAGAAAAAACGAAGAGGGAGAAAGGGAAATCCGATTATGCACTCCGCGGTGAACTTCCGACGCGAGCGCGGATATGGAAGACGAGGTGCTCGACTTGTCTCTTCACCGTTAGCTCGGCCGCCGCATCGCGGTCTTGTAGTCGACTGCAAGAACCGAGCACGGTAGAAATCCTGTCCCGTGCCAGAGCACCGCAGCAGCGTGGTAGGGCAGCAGCCTTCGGCGGTAGGCCTTGTCGTAGGCTTGGCAGGATACAAGCTTCGCCTTGACGAAGTTTGCCGGCGGCAGAAAAACATTGTCGAAGGGCGGAGTTGACTCTTGACAATCCCGCCGTGATCACGTCCAGTACTGGACATCATCCTCTGACCCGATGATATTTAAATTGTTTCGCACATCTTGCTTATGTGCTGAACAACATATCTGAAATAATATATATCGATGAAATAATATGATAATATTACAAATACATATATAGTAATATTTTCTTATCGATATTATTATAAAAAGATATATTAAATAAAAAGTGTTATATGTAACTATACTTTTGGCAATTTTTAATTACAATCGTTTATCAATGTTATTTTATCAACGTGTATGTCAAACAAGAATCGTAATTGCATATAGTTTTGTATTTATAACTAATAAACAGAAAACTCTCTTTTAAAAAAGAAAGGAAATTACAATTTTTTTGTAGTCATTAATATTTTAACTGACATATTACTTATTAAGATACTTTTCATTCGCGTATCACTAAAACTTAAATATAATAAAAATATAAAAATAAAATTAAATATAAATAAGTTTATGTTAAACAAATAAGATGCGCGAAGTTGTCAGGATTTTCTTAGATTCCTTAAAAACCCGAATGATAATCTTTTATTTTAATAAAGAAGGCTTAAATCGATCAAGCTTAGTCATTTAAAATGCGTCTTCCTCTATCATGATTGCATCGTATTCCGTCATTTTTTTTTTTTTTTAGAAAACCTTTCGAAGGTTGGGGACAAGCTTATCCCTCACCTGTTGCTTCCGCCAACTTCCAATCGTGTCCCTGAGCTAGCTATACGCGACAAGATTTTATAAGAGCATTACATGTCCGATGCAATTGTGTCTTTAGTTTCATATGCGCTTGCAACCTGATTTTCTATCGAAAGATTTAATAAATCATTCAAGACAGAGAGAAAAAGAATCTTTATTTTAAGAGAAATATTTGAGTTTTCTGGATAGTTTGCAACTACATCCTGTAAAAAAATAAGGTAAATTAAAAGTTAAACTAAAAATTTGAATTTTTTTCTGGAAAATAGAATATATATACTCTTTTTGAAATAAAATTTTAAAAAGTGAATATGTTTTTAACCTTTTTTGTTTTTATTATCATTGCTTAACAATGCAATTAAATGTTAAATGTAGTATGTATTGGGTTGAACGGAAAGTTCGTTCCGTTTTTTTACTAAGAGATGAAGACCAAAAAAACGGCACGAACTTTCCGTTCAACCCAATACAATAACTTTGATCTCATTTGAAAGATAATTTAATTCTCTACAACTTTTGTTTCGGTACTTTTTGTTAAAAGACGCATACTTTCCCTGATATTTGTAAAAATGTAAAAAATAACCGTGATTTCACAGGTTTTTGGGCGCTAACTTTTTAAGGAAGCATTTTTCGACCCATGTATATAGGAAATCTTTTGTTCGAAATTAAATTATCTTTCAAATGAGATCAAAGTGATTGTAGTTCGCTCCATAGGTTTTGAAATAAATCAGTTAATAACCAATTTCAAATATACCGAAAAGTGTTTTTTCGGCTATTGACGGTTACTCGAAAACCTGTGGAACGAACTACAATAACTTTGATCTCATTTGAAAGATAATTTAATTCTCTACAACTTTTATTTCGGTTGAGTTGAACGGAAAGTTCGTTCCATTTTTTACTAAGAGATGAAGACTGAAAAAACGGCACGAACTTTCCGTTCAACCCAATAAAAAATATCAATTAATCAGTTTTGAAAAAATAAATAGTTTAATATGATAGAAATAAAAATAGAATCATCTGCTGTAATGTTAATTGGCATCATTTTATTAGCTATAAAATATAGAAATATTTCGAATAACTTCGATGATTCTAATAGCATCGCGCGCGATTTGATATAACAGCACGAAGTATAATTAGCACAGTTAGATATTAATTATCGACGATAGAAAATGCAATGTAACTCGTTGCGATTGCAGGAATACGGAATACGAATTACGGATTACCGCTATGCGCGTATGCATGTTAAAATGTTGATATAATATACGAGAGGCAAGTGATTATTAAATTAATGACCGGTGTCACATACAAACCTGTTCGTTTAACTCCAGCATCCAATATTTTTTCGTCATACGAGCACTAATCTGAGTCTTTTAGTCCACGTATTTATAAATGCGCTACTCATATATATTTATCTGTAAGATATATTATGTGATACATTCAATATATTTATCTATAAGATACATTACATATAAGAAACGAATTTCTTCGAATTTCTAATTACAGTTTTCATTCGATGACGTTTAGAAAATTCATCTTTCGGGAAAGTATACAGATGTGAGAGATTTTAAGATTCATTTAAAGCGATAGATCTCCACAGAGTGATATTCTTAAGTCAGTCTAATCGTTTCACGATATGCAACAGTCTTTGTACTCTTGTTTCAGAGTCGGGCCCGGCTTTCCAGATTCCATTCGCACGTGCTTGTTACATCAAAAGTTGCAGGTACACGAATTACCAAATATTTTATGTAACGCTTATGTAACTTATGTATCTTCTTTGAAAAAGAAAAAAAATGCCATTGGCTTCATTCTTATCTTTTGCGCATATAGATGATGAATTGCTGCATAGCAAAGAAGAAGGCGAGGGAGGAGAACGCGCATAGATCTCTAAGCACGGAGATTGACGATGTAGAAGAGACAGGTAATATTCGCAATACGTTTAATTGTATTTTTGTGTGAAAAACGGTCAATGGAGAAACTTGAAAGCTCTTCGCTTCGATTTCCGCAGAATCCGAGGAAGAGGAATTCTTCGAATGCTCGAGTGAAGAGCAGGCGGGCGAGGAGATTTCGTCAACGAGGATGCAATTGAAGGCGAAGCACCTGCTGTGGAACAAGCCTGCGGGAAGATTGGCTAAACATCCATCACTCAGGTTGGCTTATTTTAGCAAGTGACAACCGCAAATTGGCCGAGATTCGCGTGAAATTTATAGAGTGAAATTCCGTTTCTTGATTTGCAAAGTTGAAATATTTCAATTTGATTAACTGAGAAAGAAAGAAAATTAAATTAGTATCTTGAATATGATTCTTTTACTAGTGTGCTAACTGCTAGCAAAAAGCATTTAAAGCGTTTAAATAAACAGATTTAAATATCTTTATTTTTTACAATCGTGTATATAATATTCACGTTATTCTGCCGGCGGAGTAAGTTTGAGAGGATACATGATTTTGTGACTTAACGGGATGGAAATTGATGTGTAGGCTGATTCAAACTGGAGACCCTCTTTATCTACCAGTCACGCAGGATCCCGTACCGAAGACGGAGGACCAGTTGGAGGAGGACGCGCAGGTGATGATGCAACTTGGTACCGACAAATACGCTTCCGAAATGCGGGCTCGAATGATGAGCGCGTCCCTGCTATCTGACATGGAATCTTTCAAGGTTTATATTGATCTTAAAATTTCTAGCGATGTATTTTTTACACACATAAAATTTATATGTATATTTTTATTATATATAATACAGGCGGCAAATCCTGGCGCAGTATTGGAGGATTTCATTCGATGGTATTCTCCGAGAGACTGGATCGACGACGAAGGCATCGATGAATGGGGACAGGGGAAGGGTCAGTATTGTTTTCGTTATACATACAAAATTTCTGGAAATGTACATATCACTTTTTGAAAAATCTCTATTATTCGTAATCGCGTTTATTTATCTCGTCTATCTCATTCAAATAATCGAAGATTCTTTGATTTAAGAAATTTACTGATTGTGGTATTCGCAAAAAACATTATTATTTTTTACTGAAAAAAGTTTGATGTGCCAAGACATATGATATATAAAAAATTGCACATCATTTTCATTGTATACCATTTATGAGAATACTTATAAGCTACAAATATATAAAAAAACATAGTTTTTTTTTAATGGAATGTTATATAGAAATATAAGGAATGCCCTGAGATTTTTATTGACGACTCTCATTGTTCTTTATATCGAATCTTGAAATACAGGCCACTTGTCCCCGCGTATGATGATCCCCGATAATCCGTGGTCGACGACGTGGGCATCGGCGCAGCCAGTTCCCGCGCATCGGCAGAAGCGATTGTTCGATGACACGCGAGAAGCGGAGAAGGCTCTGCATTATCTGTGCTCGAAGCGAATAGGCCAAGTCGCGCAGCTTCTGCTGCCGTCTCTAACGCACGCCGCGCTCCACACCCTGAGCTCGCAAAAGCAGGAGGCTCTGCCGAGCCTGCCTGACGTAGCGCAGAGCATACTCAATAAACTACAATTTGCGACGAAACCGATTCATCAGAAGCTACAATTGTACGAGGTATGTACGTCATATGACGATTAGAATCTCTCTGATTTAATAATTAGGGTTATTACGATTATTAATAAATGTGGATTATTCAGATTAATTATGATGAATATTATATAAATATTTAAATAACATGTGCTATTTCTTTCCCAGGAAATCACGCGCGACATCGAGAGCGTGGAGGCGCTAGTCGCACAAGTGAATTCGCTGCAGCACAAGTTAGGCGGTAAAGACTCTAAGGAATTTACATCCTTCTTGATTCAGCTGATGCGAGGAAAGGAAGTGAGCGTGCCCGGCGGTTCCAGGGGAGACATCGGAGCACGAATAACCACGATGTTCCGCGACGCTCAGAAGGTGGTAGTTTTTACAAGTCATGATTATTATTTATATATTTTAATATAAAATACTTTTGTTTTCTGTTTCAGGCCGCTCACATGATGACGTCCGTCAGCAACAGCAACGACACAACAAACGCCGCGGGAGATGGCCGGCATAAAACTTTTCCGGAGCCATCGTGCAAGGAGTTTATTCTACGCGCGATAATGCCGCGACCTTCGCCGGCCTCCACTCCGCAACCGCAGCGACTGTACGCCTGTCTTAAACGAGATCACATTCGCTTAGCCGGTTTTTTCTCCGAAGATACGACATTTCTGTAATGTGGATCGGAATTCGCAGTCGTAGAATTTCGGTAATTATCTGCAACGTTCAGTTTGCGGTGACTAAAAGTGATTACGAATCATGCATCGTACTTCGTTTTCTTCGTTTCTTCCCAACCGTCGACAGTTTATTTCTCCAACATATCAGACAACTTTCGATTTCGTTTCCGTAGCGGAAACAAGTGCAAGAAACAATTGTGTGTACAATATAATGTGCGATATTTTTTAATCAGAACTTAATTTGTTTGTCTTATTGCATGTTGTGAATAGACTTTTTATAGAAAATATTTATCTTTAAACTTAGAGAGAAAAAGAGAAATTGAATATAATTTTCATTGGAGCGTTGTATATACAAAATATATCGCGTATTTAGTTGCGTCATGGAATGGACGGCGGATCCAACAAAAATATTCTCTTTTCAAGTTTAGGCGGTGCAGATAGAAAGTCCCGCACAATGTGATCGATCTCCTCCAGGGCCAATTGAGCGTGAAGCCGTAGCACGGGATCGTCGTCATTATCGCGCAAGTACTTTAATCCGCGATACAAGTCGACTAAATCGCTACCGAGACTGTTCAACGTGTTCCGGCCGAGACCGCGAAATAGAAGCGTAGCAACTAGCACAGCGGCACGACGGCATTCGGGCGTTTTGTCCGATTTTATTATACACGCGATGCAGTAAAGAATCTAAAAATGTTAAGATCAAGAAAGACTCGTTCGGTACTCTGTTTCCTAAACACGTCATATATACGTACCTCGATAAGAATGTTTCCTAATCGAAAGTTCAACACCTTGCAGAGTTCTCCCAAGCAAGAGAGACTGGAGGCTCGTACCAAAGGATCCGTATCACGCGTCGCGCACAAAAAGCCGTTGACTAGCGCGTTCTTATGAACTACGCTCATTTCACCTGTGAAATGTCACATTTCGACATTAATATGTCTGGTTCTTGTTCGAAACTCATGATAGAAGTCATTAGTTGCATTCTATTTTATCGTTTTCTGGATGTATGTATTTTCGTTAAATAATGATAATTTATTAAAGATATATTATAACTTTATCGCCATATTTAATAATTTTACGGAAGAGAAAAGAAATTGATATTTTATTAGATGAAAAGAAATTATATAATTTTTTAAAATTATGTAAGAGAATAATAAAAGAAGGGATCTTTTTACGCGTACCCAAAGCTCTCGTTGTTTTGACCAATATCTCCCCGAGTTTTATCCTAGTTTCGACAGTTATTTCAGCGTCTGCACGATTGGGCATATCGATGTATTCAGGCATCAGTATCTCTATGATTTCTCTTGGGAATACAGTTGCCAATGCACACAGCCCGTTAATAGACGCTAGATATATGAACGAGTCCTCGTGCTTTAAATTTTCCTGCAATCAAATGTTCAAGTAACATAAATTGCCAAATACACTGTTTAACGAGAAATTCAAAAATTACCTGGAACAAACGCAGAACGATTCCTTTTCGTGCGACGGCGCAAGGATCTTTACTCTCGATTAGTTTCGTGAGCGTAATGAGACCATGCGCACGAACAGGAAGTAACGGGTCCGCGAGATCCCTAATGGCTTCTTCAAATTTATTCGACGTGATCGGGTTTATCGACATATCTCGATAATATTTCCTTTCTTCGATTCTGGCTCGGGATTTTTCATTTGGATCATATGTCACGATGCAGGCCACCACTTCGTCGATCAATGATCTAAGTTGCATTGGCAAATTTGAATTCTTGCGATGGTTCTCTAAAAACGTAGCGAAATCTTTTAAGAGATCGATTTCAAGCGTAGCTTTTTTTTCAACTAGAAATTTTATCAGCATTAAACTGATGTATAACATTTCGCATTCGTTTTCTTCTGTTTTGCCTTGGTAGCTCTTTGTATACGTGTCGAACAACGACTTTATAAACGAAAGCAGTGGCGTGGGATTTTTTACTTGTGCTTCTTGAACGGTAGTAGTGCTGGCTAATTGCGACAGAAGCTTGTGAGCCGCAAATTGCATCGTGATATGTTCTATTTTATCATCTTCCGTCTCTAGCATTTTTTGTCGTTCAACTTTGTAGCTGGACTTATTTATATTCGATAGAAATTTTAACATGTAACAGAATAAACTGGGAGATAAATCCTTTGCGATGGATACCAGTTCGAAAACGGTATCTGCTAATTCTTCGTGTTTCAAATTTTTATTCAGGCCAGTAATCTGGAGACCACCGGTTGGTCCGAATTGTGCCGTCACATAATCTCCGAATTCTGCCGATATATCGTGTCCCAGAAAAGCTGCGTAAAGCTTTTCTCGCGTAGCCTCCTCCTCAAGAATTTTCAATAATAATCGTCGTAAATTTGTTTTTAATACGCAAGCACTTTCGCGAATTGTGTTGTACAGACAGAATAAAGGAGTAGCAACTTGTAAAATAACTGTGCAAGATACATGCTTAAACTTGGCATCTTCAGTTAAAAAACATTTTACTAAACAATCTATACACTGTTCTATTTCCTTCTCGGATTTTACAATGTATGGTTCCTTTGTTAGTAAAGGTGCACAAATAACTTCTACGATATATTTCTGACAAGCATCCGGATTGTAATCATACAGGGCCTTGATACAGCAATTTGCTATTATTGAACCATGGTTTATATTTCCCGAACAGAGCAGATCTAAAATCTATGAAGAAAAAAAAAAAGAAATGAACAATCTGTGAGAACAATCGGTATTAAAACATGACAAATCTATTATATATATATTTTATATATTTTATTAAAAAATGTATTTTATATACTTAATTTCTTAAAAAAATATATATATATTTCTTAAAAAATATGTATATACATAATATCGTCGACACACATACAAATATGTATATAGATATACCTGTGGACATACAGCTTTATAATACTCTTCGGCATTCTTTCCATGCGATGCTGCTATCAACTTAGAAACTGTTTCTAGTTTCCTCCAATCTGCACCCAGATCCAGATCGTCTTCGCAAATCGCGGCGATTAACGATAACACTCCATTTGATTGTACAAGTATTTTAGTTAAATAATTCTGAGTTTCTTTACGCAGCCACTTTGGCGCGTTTTGCATTCCAAGAATTACCATTAATTCCCGGAAACATATATACTGCGGGCAATTGTTTAATAATGAAATAAATTTAGTATGAAATTCTTTTTGACGATTTTGCAGCTTTTGGTATTCTTCCATTGTCATATGAAATTCCTGCTTATTAATATTCGAGGTTTGTTGAACTTTGCTTGATGGTTTAGTCAGTGGAGCATGAGACAATTGTAATAGAGCAGCCATTAGAGGGCCAATTTGGGAAAGTACAGCTGGTTGTAAGTTGAGATCATCAAAAAGATCCAGGAGTGAATGTGTTGAAAAACATAATCGTTCATATTTCTAAAACATAAAAAATTTGTATAGAGTAAGTTATCACACAAATTACATAATACATATCTTATTTCGCAAGAATTGGTGAAACAATCTTACTTCTAGGCAGCCTATTTCCTCTTTTTCTTGAAAAATTTTTACAGCTTTGGGACATAATTTAGCCATATCCACACCAACACCAGATAATAGAAGAGGTATAATTCCAATTGATACTATTAATTCTACTGCAATTTTTACAGAACGATATTGTTTCACACTAATGGGCGCATCGGTATCTATTTTTGCATTTTCTGCTTTAATGTTGCGTAGTATATGAATTATTATTTGCAGATACTGATCTCTGTAAATAAAAACATATCTAAAATAATGTTTCTATATATCTCGCTTTGCGAGTATACCATACTTTCAGCAATATAAAATTTTACCTAATGTTAACATCTTTGATCGATTGCCTTATATCTTCTGGCAGAAGCGGCGTTACTTTCTCCAATATTCGCGCCAGCTTATCATCAAAATTCCTAGCATGATCTGCAAATATAGGTTTAATTAAAAAATGCAATATATATTAGTATTTATTTACTGTTATCTTTAAAACATTACCATCATCACTGCTAGATATCAACGTGGATAACACTTCGTGATAATCCATGTTTTCTCTGACATTTTTTATGATCACTTACAGTTTATCAGTTAAGGTTAGATTCCACTCTACAACAGAATCACGTGACACGTGACGAGAATGACATATGCGTAATTTATATGCCATTCATGTGTATTAAAAAATTAATTGTATTATTAAAATGAAATGTAATTATATTGGTTACATATCTTTGTATCTAAATGCATCATTAAATAATGAATGGAAATTGTAGGAAATTGAAGGGAAAATCGAGAGCAGACAATTCACACAATTTATTACTTGATCCCACTTTTAAAATTAAAATGGTTTGATTGCATCTATTTACGCACATTTTTATATTATTATTATTAATATTAATATAAAAATCTTTGTTTTTAATTAATATTAATTATTTTTAATTAATATTAATTAATATTAATTATTAATTATTAATATTAATTTTTCATGCAAATGTGTACAATATTGTATAATTATAACATGATTAAAAACATTCTTTCCCATTTCACTTGCTAATGGCTGGCAAATTGTGGCTGTCTGTGTATATGTTATTATTAAGATAAATTTCTCTCTTATTCATCTTTATGATTATCTCCATTTGTTTTTAAAACATCTGTTATTATGTCCTGACTGAGAGTCCATAATCGCGCGGCTAATGTGAGATTTAATGCCGGATTCGATGGTTGGCAACGATAACAGTTGTTGAAATAGCCTCCTGTCACACCCTCTAGCTCGGGCGCTGTAGCACAGAATACTACTGTACTCGCTGCTTGTTGCTGCAATGCATTATATGTGTTGTTATCCTATCTTTTCTTTTTTTCTCATAGATTGTAATAAATAAAATCAGAATATAATGAACCAATAAAGTGTTAGAAAAGAAGTGCAAGTATTTGAAAGAACATAAATTTAAATGATCATTTCTTCTTGCACTCTTTTAAAACTCGCTCTTTGCGTTTTATAATATTTACTGCACTTTGCATAAATTTGTTAAAAAATTTATTCCATACCACTGATTTTGTGAATGGCCGTACTAAGGCGAACAACAATCGATATAGCCACCACTGACGCGGTAAGGACGTAGACACCAAGTTACCAGGATGGCAAGCAAATACGCTTACAGAGGGCCACTTTCGTGCCAGTTCTTGCGCAAATAGAAGATTACAGAGCTTTGAATCGTTGTACGCTGCCATCTGCCAGTATTTGTACGCTGGTGGAGACAAAGTTGACTGGTGAATATCTTCTGGAGTACATATCATTGAAAATCTGTAAATTATAAAATTACAAGTTATTACATAAATTATTTAGTTACATAGATTTCGATTTTATATTTAAATATGAAATAGAAAATATTGAGATATTACCGGTGAGATTCACTGGATACTATTACGATCCTAGGATTGTTGGAATGCTGTATAATATGCTCCAACAAGAGTGTTAGATAAAACTGCGACAGGTGATTAACTTGAAACGTCGTTTCATAACCATCCTTTGTCAATTGATAAGGTAATCCAAACACACCGGCGTTTAATATGAGAATATGTAGAGATCTAAGCAATGAGAAAATTTCATTGTAAAGTAAAATGATTGATGATTACAATATTTTAGTAACATATGTGTAATGAAATTACTTGAATTTCTGCTTGAACTGCTCAAAAGCCTCTCGCACGCTACGCAGTGACGATAAGTCCATTTCTAAAGCCACACAATTTGCAGTCTCCTTTTCTTGTTGAATGCGTCTTATAGCTTCATTAGCCTTTTCTATATCCCTACAGGCTAATATCACATCGCAGCCATGTAAAGCTAATGATCTGGCTGTTTCATATCCTGTATGCAAATAGTTTTCTCGAATTAATAAAATTGTAAGAACAATTATTATGTATTAACAATTTTTATTTACCAATGCCTATATTGGCTCCTGTAACAAGAGCGACTTTGTTACGTAGATCTCGGCCATGCAACACTGCCAGAGCAGTGCTACTTCCATCAAATCTCTGTCGCATTGGTTGAGACATCTCTCTATACTCAGTAGCAAATGCTAGTCGTGGATCGGTGTAAGTTGTTGTACGGTTTGTATGGTCAACAAATAGCACTTTACCATCATCTGATATACATCTCTCCCATCCAGCTGGTAACTCTGATAAATTTTTTAAATCTGAATCTCTGTTTTAATTAATGCATATATTAGTATTATTAGTAATTTTTTGCATTTCTAAATTGGATTCTGTGGAAAATGTGATTAAATGTTATATATTCTACTTTTAATTTGATATTGTTAAAATTGTATTTAATATAATAATATAACTATTAGGATGACAAGCAAAATTTTCCACAAGATATTTTTCTTCACATGATTATGCGAAAATTTAAAATTTACATATAATTACTATCACACACTACAAGCTGTTCTATGAAATCAAATAAATATTGTTCAGAATTATACACTCAGAATGATCATAAACCATATGTTCGTCATGAAGTTAGAATCATGAGGACTGTCGAAATCAAATACACACACCTCCGTCGACAATCTTCTTACGACCGGTTCTAGGATGCGTCCATTGCGTACCTTTCGTGTAATGACTGCAACGCAATATTATAATTTTTAAACGAATTTCTGCACATTCATAGCACTTTATTTACATTGACGTATAACGTGACTTGATCTTTTTTGCAAAAGTACTAGTCTTATCGAAAAGCACAACGTATTTACTTGACATAATAAACATTCCCGTCCAACGTTGTCCTCTCCTCCCACCCTGGCGGTAGCTCATCCTCGCTATCGGAATCATTCAAAACACCCACCATCTCCTGATAAGCTCTCTTTCTGCTTTTTTAAATTATATTTTAAATTATATATCACGCTCTATTTTTTTCGAAAGCTTAATTTATCCATATCTGTGTGTATTTAATCTTTCAAATGTCATTTACAATAAACCCAGGCTTTCTACAAGTTTTTTTGCGCTTGCGCGTTCATTCATACACATGTGACATACTACGGGTGCGTTCGGGGAGACGCTATTAGCGCTAACAGCGTCGTTCTATCTTTGTTACTTATTGAAAGTTGAACAAAGACAGAACACGCTCATAGCGCTAAATGTGTGCTCCCCGAACGCAGCCTACGTCCGTGATCTGAATACACTATTGGTTATTTGTTTTGGACAAACGCCGTTGATGGTTGATGTCACCGCGTGATACGTAATTTAAGGTTAAGAAACTTGATTTTGTCAATCAAGGAATTATTTATATGTTTTGATATGGCTGGGAAGCAAGGAAAAGAATTAGCGTTGTCGATGTTGAGAGTGTTACCTAGAGTGACATTATCAAATATTCGAGATAATCCTGGTTCAAGAAAAACGACAGGCGTAAGATATTACAATTAAAAAATATGAAAATATGACAATTTATATGCCATCTCTTACAAATAGACGCATGTGTGCGTAATTAGATTGCGATGTTGTATTGGATTAATTTCCTATACACTTGTATTCAAATGTACTTTCAATCAAACACTATTACGATGGTATTTTATTATCATTTCACCTTTTGTCACTTTTGTACAGCAACGTGGCAGAGGTCAACATGGTGGTAATAAACATGGTGCTGGAAATAAAGGTTCTGGACAAAGACAAAATTTTATGCGCGTGGGATATGAGACTGGCAATACCCCTTTTTACCTGAGATTTGGCGCAGAACCTTACTATAAGGGTCACCAGTGAGTTTTACAAATCTATTCGTTTTATGAAATTACACATATATATATATGTGAAATTTCTGAAAAGCAATGCTAGTCTGTGCATTTCAGTTTGAGACGAGAATATCCACCGCTTAGTTTACAACAACTGCAGATGTTTATTGACTTGAATCGGGTGGATATTACTAAGCCCATCGATCTTGTATCACTGTTAAATACTAAAATATATTCTATTAATGTAAATTGGAAACACGCGGGCGTTCATTTGACAGACGAGGTAACGTTTTAAGATTTTATCCCAAATGTTTTATTTTAAATTTTAGTATTAAGGGGATCCAAAAGCTCGTCTGTTTTACCGACCATAATAATTAATATTTGCTTAATATAAAAGTTTTGCAGTTTGTATGCGCAAAATAGAATAACTTCGTCTTCGGAATTGCATGAAAGAATATAGGTGAACGTTTAAAAATGTATTTAGAAGATGTGCACTTAAATCGTGGAAAAGGATTTATTATTCTATTCAACTAAAAAAAAGATTTCAATGTGCAAAATAATAATTTTTGGTCGGTAAAACAGACGAGCTTTTGGATCCCCTTAATATTGCATGTGTATTTCTGAGATTAATATAAAAACTCTGTTTTAAGGGTGCAAATTGTTTTAAAGCTAAAGTAAATATAGAGGTACAATGGGCCAGTGAACCTGTAATTGCAGCTATTGAGAAAAATGGCGGTGTAATTACAACTGCTTACTATGACATGCAATCCCTTCATGCTATGTGTGACGCGGAAAGATTTTTCCGCAAAGGTAATTTCAGAGAGAAATATCTTTCGTCGAAAAAAATAATCTTGTATTGTATATAATCCTTATATAAAATGTGTCTAGGTGAACCGATACCGCGTCGATTTTTACCACCGAACGATTGCCTGCAATATTATTCCAGCGCTGCTACGAGAGGATATTTAGCCGATCCTGAGAAAATCTCTCAGGAACGATTGGTGCTGGCGCAAAAGTACGGCTACGAATTACCGAAAATTGAGGACGATCCCGATTACGAGATGTTATGCGAGCGTAAGGATCCGCGACAATTGTTTTATGGTCTAGAACCAGGTTGGGTGGTCAGTCTTATTGATAAAGCGATATTGAAACCCAAAGCCAAGTATTTGAAGAAGTATTATGCAAGTTGAAGTATGAGAATATAGAACACAATGTAAATGGACTAGATTTAATAAAATATTCTTATGATACAACACACACACAAAACTCCTGTTTTAAAATTATTCGACTAGATATATAATTAATTATTAAATATAATATTTTAGTAAATATCTTTTAATAAGATAATTCAGACAGCGTTCGACTAACATTTTTAAATTACATAGCATGAAATCTCGTAGAAAATTAAAATCTTGTACAAAATCGATTTTGTAAAATTGATTTGTTTGATGGTAATTGATCGAAATCGAACTGCGATAATCGATTCTGTAATCGCACTGCACCCGCGTATCAGCACTCACTCTCGTGTCTCGTGCTCTCGTGGTATTGTTTATGTCAGAAAATGAGATACGAGGGCAAACAGTTCTGAAATTGGTTCCCACATTTCTAAGATGGATGTCGCGCATCTTAAGAGAAACATGAAAGCAAAAAAGGACGATGCGGTGCGAAAAATATCGAGGCAAAAAGCAAACGGTAATCTGGAAAGAGCTGTCAAAAATGTGCAACATATCTTGAAGGTTAGATATAACCTCTGATAGAAAACATAGAACGTTTTATTTAATTTCTACGGTATTTTGTATTTATCAGATCATTTTATTGTATTTGTAGCTTGCTGATTAATATTACTTTACTAATATTGATATTTTGTAATTTATCATATACGCGTAATTATTTTAATAATTTTTATTGTAATGTTTACTGTGTTATGTATGTTAAAAATTATTGCAATTGTTTTAATACAATCTTTGACAAGAATTTAAATGACCTGAATGTTAATGAACAATTATTACATTTATTAATATGAATGCTTTTTTTCCAGAAAAAAAAAGCAGAAGCAAAAGCTGCCAAAAAAAAGAGAATAAGTTCAACAAAACATAAACCTAAACAATTTAAAGTGCAAAAACCGAGACGAAAAGGAATAGTTTATGTAGGACACGTACCTCATGGATTTTATGAAGAACAAATGAAAGACTATTTTAAACAGTTTGGGAATGTAACAAGAGTACGAGTGGCACGATCCAAAAAAGTATGCATAAATCTAAATGAATTGTAAACTGTTTTATGAGAGTGCAATGATTATACTAACTTTTAACAATTTTATTTGCAGACTGGGAAAAGTCGTGGCTATGGTTATGTAGAATTCCTTTACCCAGAAGTTGCTCAAATTGCAGCAGAGAGTATGAATAATTATCTCATGTGTGGTCGATTATTGAAAGGTATTACTTAAACTTTAAAATTATATTGATGGGCTAATTTTGATTGCTTTTCTTTATCCATATAACATATGTGTTTTTAGCCACATATATTCCACCTGAGAAACAGCATTTTGGATTTTTCATGGGAGTAAATTGGTCAGAAGATAAATACCCTAAATTGGTAAACAGGAGAAAGACAATCTTACGTAAAAACCGTGTTCAAAGTGCTGAAGCTTATAAAAAGTATATTGACAAATCACTCAATAAACTTTCTATGTTAGAAGATAGACTGCAAGACAAAGGAATTAGCATAAAATTTCAACCTGTTGATGTACCAAAAGAATAGTTAAAGGTATATCTTTATTTTACTTTTTTAAAGTATGTATAGTCTATCATTTGTATATTGGAGAAACAATAAAAATTTATACGGTAAATATAAATTTCTGCTATACTTGTAACAATAAACATACAAATATCTAATGTTTCTATAAATGATATCTGTGTAAATCGTTATGTACAATTACATCTAAATGTTGTATACTATATCATTAATACACTCGAAACATATCACGATACGGCAGTTGCTTCCTGTACGTTCGTCGTGCTTCCTTTAGTTCGCTTCCACTTCATACGCCTATTCTGAAACCACACTTTCACCTATAAAAATATGATTGAACGAGATAAATGGATGTATAGGAATTCCATAATTTGTTCATTAAATGCTTTATAATATACCTGACGTTCTGTCAAATCCAGTGCTACTGCAATCTCATAGCGACGCAAACGTGTTAAATAATTACTGTGCGCGAACTCGCACTCGAGATGACGCACCTGTTGCTTCGTAAACGCGGTTCTCTCCTTCCGCGGTTTTTCGCTTGTCCTCTTTGTCGTTTCTGTAATCAGCGAATGATCGAAGAATTATAGCAACGTACTATCAGTATTCACTTAATATTTTTTGAGATCGATTTTTCTAGCGCCAATTTTAATTAGCAAAATTTTTTATAACTTTCCTGTTTTTATTATTTTCTAAAAAAACGCTCGAATATATCAAATTATCTTACGTGCATGTGTAATATATTCAAAAAAGATAACTTTAAATTGAATTTAGAGAAAAATTCTACATGTTTGTATTAAGTCCGAGACAAAAATGATGAATCTATGATAATAATATAAAATCCTTGTGTTTTTTTAGCCATCGAAATATAACTGCTTGACTTTGAGCATAGTAGATTGCAATCAGTAAAAAACAAACTTATGGTTCTGAAGAATATCTTGTTTTTTTTATAGATAATTCCTGATTTAGACGCGAATCCTCTCTTGCGCGTTAAGAGGCTGGTCCAGTTTCTTCCTGGACGGTGACATAACGCTCATCATCCGGCTGGATTTCGCTGCATCGTCCTCTCGCCGCGCGGTTTTCCGCGGCAAGATTTCGCGGCAGCGGCGACTTTTTGTCGGCGGCGAGATGAAAATAGCCGCGCGTACGATGCGTCAGTGCGTGGTTACACCCGCTTGCAGCTTGCGAAACCCGCTTTTGCTGGAGAAGCGCGGCTTTTGCTGGAGAAGCGCGGCTTCTACCGCACAACGACACGTGGCCACCGAGAAATAGAGAGAGGCGGGATATTTTCTCTCTTTCTCTCTTCTTTTTTCTCGAGACCCTTAACTTTGCTTCCGTGCCGCTATCTCGGCTCTAATTGCTAGCTGACGTCAATTACGAGATCTCTCGTGTAATCCGCGGCCGACATCGATGGTCACTATTGGACCAGTTACGAGAGTAAAACGATACGTCAGACGGGGACGTTAAAGTGCGTCATTTTTGCGAGTTGTATTTCGATGCGATCAGTTTACAAACTCAATGACTTTTAAATTCTTTACACAACATATAATTCCAATTTATGATATTTAAGATAAAGAAGCAGGCATGGGAATTTAATTAAAATTACATCCTGGTTTTAGTGATTGGGCGCTAATTTAGATTTCTACTGTCACGATTTTATTTTACACATGATTTCCTTTCTTAGTTGAATATTTAATATTTAGTAATCAAATACATCCTTAGTAAAATCAAATACATCTTTTTTTATATTATAAATCAGCATTTCGATTATATATAAAAAGGATGTATTTGATTTTTTTAAAGTTTTAATTGTGAGAGATGATTTCTTATATGTTTATTCTATTCAATTCAACGATGTCAGAAACCGATAAAAATTTTTCAGCTTGAGAGATTTATTTGCTATTCATCAAATCAAGTAATTTGGAGAGAGAGACAGAAATTAAATTGGCCTTATGAATGTCAGTATAATAAAGAGAGATATAACACACGCATACACACACGACGTTTATTACGCAAGACGTATACCAGCTCGAGACACATTAGACATTTGATAAATATTTAGATTGTACTGGGCCCGTTATGGTCGCATTGGCGACGCTAAAGACATAAACCTTCCAATTGTACTGTCAACGATTTACATTGGAAATCCGTCGAAGCTGCACGATCCGAAATGTTTCAAACTAATTTATTACATACAGCTGTGCACAGCACTATTAGAATTTCTGTCTAATAATGATTTAAAAAATTTCGTTCCAATTAATTAGAGAAATGGCATATATATATATATATA